TGTTAGAGGAAAACCCCGGTTTTACAAAAGCCTCTATTTTAAGAGAAAAGGAGAAAATGGGAAAACCGACGATGTGCACACAAGAAAGGAAAGCGAACGGCGAATGTTATATAAACAGCACAGAGAATAAATTTTCCAAGTGAACGCAAGCCAAACTGAAAAAAAGAAATAAATGAGGCGTGTAACCTATATTTTTTGTCTGTGGTTGTTACAATTTTCAGCAAGTTTTGTTCGTATTTCCGAGTTTAGGAAAAACATTTTTTTCAATTGATATATTAGTCTAAGAGCCAGTGGCAGGTAACCTATATGTAATTTATAATACCTGAAATATTGTCCAGTGAGCCTCGAATACCTGCCAACCATAAGATGGGGTCTCGTTAAGCCCAGTGAGGTGGACCCTTGAGTTAGTTAGATGCGTTAGGTGACATTTCATGGTTTTATAAATTACATATAGGTTGCCTGACACTGGCTCTTAGACTATATTATAGAGGGTTTCTATATCCTGTATAACATAGAATGTAAAAACTTAAATTAAGTATTCAAAAATGCGAGGTAGATTCTTTGATGTATACTTAGAATAAAAGAGTTATAGACAAAGGAAGGAGCCTAATATATGCACACTTCTTTCTACAAAGAGAAGGTCAAGTTAAAGGAATATTATGCAAACATTTCAACTTTTCAAAGTACAGTATGATAATTCATAAAAGATGTAAAACTTGAAACTAAAAAATTATATTTATATACATAATCCCATTTTGAGAACAATAATTATTGTTTCAAAGAGTTTAATTGACACAAATATTAAAATGAATATATTTTGATGTGTGTCATTTGTCTAATAATGTAGGATAAATTAGATTATTCTATAACTCAAACATATTGAGCTGTTCTAAAAGTTAGAACGGGAATTTGAAGTCTGACAGAAGCTCTCGTATGCTAATTCCACAGAATAAAGAAAATAATTAGTGCGAGTGATGGAGAGAACTCAATGTCAGCTAGAAATTGAATTTTGTAATTGTAATGCTTGTGACGTCTTCAGAAATAATATAATTGCATTAACAAAACTAAATTTTTGCTAATTATAATGATGTAAATTACAATTCAAAATAAAAATTAATTGTTGAATGTCGAATGTCGAATTTGGAATTAAACATTCAAATTCCAAATTGGACATCTATAATATTAACATTAGATTTAAGGGAATTGTTTTTCAGCAAATCTCAGGACACCATAAATAAATAGATCATAATAATAATGAGTATGTTTAGTGCTAAATTTGCTTGTATTATTTTGTATTTTTGTTAATATATTTCTCTTCAATATACTTTTTATTCTATTTCATGCCGTATATGAAAGTGTTTTTTATACTGTTTATGCAATTTTAAGGTTACATATTTGTAGATTTACTTAATATTTAGTTTCATTATTTTTTTTTATTAGTTTTAACAATTATTTTCTTTTCTTTGGGTTAGTTGAACAGAGGGCAGATATATAACCTGCTTAACTGAACCTCGCACTTTTGTACACTTTTTTCTTCTATAATAATTGTATGTCACATTTTTACAAATAAAGACTTGCTGTAGTGCCCAGAATTGCAGTTTTTTGCAATTAGAACCAGGACTGAACTCCGTAATCCCAAACGCCTCAGGATATCAGATAAGTTTATATGTATTAAACCGTTGGCAGAAATAATTATTGGCAAAATTTTTACGGTTTTTAGATTCCAAACTCTCTTCAACCCAACGCTTAGAGTATTATATTTATCCATCTTTTCTTTGTACGCCCTGCCTATGTTATCATCTACAGGAATTGACACGTTTATAATGGTAAGTTCTTTATTTTCCTTTTCCAACAGCATGAATCAGGCCAATTATTGGGTTCGAGTTGATCCGTAATTATGCTCATATCCCAATAAAGCTTAGCAGAATCATTTTGGATTATTGCTTTAGGCTGGTATTTATAATATGCCTCTTTATTTTGGACTATTTTGTGTTTCAGCCCCAGTTCTTGGTGGATGATTTTGGCTACTTCATCGTGTCGGTTGAGGTATTCTGTAGGAGCCAAATGAATGGAGCTTGACACTATGTGCTGGATTGTTTCCTCCTGTTTGCACCCCATGCGGCATCGGCATGATGTATCAGGTAAGTTCTCTTTTATTATGAACTTCCTATAGTTTTTAGTTGGAATTACTTGGTCCTGTATTGCTGCCAGTGCCCCTTCAGTTTCAGTAAACAAATATCCCTGTGTTAGATAAAGAAATGATTCTTCTTTTGCTACTTCAGGATTTTGCAAACTGTTATAGTACCTACCATGCAGAGACTTCTTTTGTCATGTTTCTTTAAAAGTTTGTGGTATGGTTTGGTCTTCTCTCACATCTGAAAGTGATAGTGGTCTTGTTTTTCTTTCTAAATTGGTTAGTCCTCTACCGCCCTCACATCTTGGTAAATATAGTCTTTCTATTGCAGATTGATGTATGATATACTTTGTTAGAAGTGTTCTTATCTTCTGATCAGAAATCTACCAGATGGTTTGGTTTGGCAGATTCTGTAGGGAAAATTGGAAAACACCAGAACACCTCGTCACCTTCTCAAACTTTGGTTTTACTGATATCGGAGATGGAGAACTAACCTCTGCAAAACTGTCTCAAATACTGGCTTTTGGCAAGGCCCTGAAACTGTATGGCGAGTGATAACTATATTATAACCAACTCAAAAAAGGAGAACACATCAGGTATGTAAGATCGCGATAATTAAGAGTCCATTTCATTAGTCCGAAGAAGTAGCAAAATAAGCGTTCGGGATTTAACGTTTTATGTAAAACTGGTTAGGTATTTTTACACAAATGAAGAAGGAAATTGAAGATAAAGGATTATACTATATCCGTATTGTAGCACATTAGTAGACAACTTCTTTATTTTTAAGATTTTTATGGTCAAACATCAACAAAATATTCCTTATGTTTGGACTAAATTTTCTCGAAAATAAAGACATAATTTAAAATTCCGTTACAATAGGGAAATAGATTGAAGTTTTGTGATTACATTGATATATAATTTATATGGTTTTGTAACAAATTGCTCGCTATTTTATGGCAAATGATATGGTGATAACTATATTATAACTCAAAAAAGAAGAACACATTATGTATGTAAGATCGCGATAATTAAGCCCCTTCCCATACTATTTTACATTCAACATTCAACAACACCGCAATGTTTATTTTTGTAAGAAAACCAATAATAAAGAATAAAAAAACTTTATTCTTCCTCAAACAAACAAAAGTATAAATTTCTAGAGCGTGGAAAGATCTGGCAAGCTCTCGGAAAACGAGATAAATTGTCGGTAATCGAAGTCCATCCAGGAGAAACGTTACAGTTCTCAATAGTCTTTTGTCAGTCGCCGGATAGAAAATCGCGGAAAATTGGGTCGCGGTAAATTAAGCGTAGCCGCCGATGATCCGGAGCGACTCAATTAAGGATAAATCTATGGAAATGTTTCAGTAAAGAGTTAGATCACTTCAATCAATTACCGTGAGACTCGGATATTACTCTATCTGGGTAAATATTGACTTAGTTTCCGGTTTTAGATGTTTTAGACTCAATTACACACTTAATAACAAAGCCTTTATTTATAGCCCAGTCATATTAGAGAAAAACTCCCACAGTTTTGAAAATGGTTTTAAATGATTTCTCTAGACTTGGGCTGATATGTGTCAAAAGCCCCCGAAGATAGATGATGAGCTCGAGGAGAGGATATGGGTTAAATGTCACTTCCTGTCAAATGTCAATCCTAAAATTGTTTTTACTTAAATCAAGAAAAATCTTTGATTTTTTCCGGTCGTAAGTCCTGAGAATTTTCTTCGAGTGTCTTAAACACTTGGAGGATTCCCATTCCACGTTACAGATGGTGTCTTTTAGATACTAGAGTTGTGCTTTAAGCTGGCTTCCCCTTGGGAACCAGAACGGTTCTGGTCCAGTTAGTAAAGTGTTTGCTCTTTTTCTAGCTAGATTGTTTACTTTTTCATTATCTACTATCCCTTAGAGTGCTGGCCTACAGAGTAGGAGGACCTTATTTTCTTTGCCTAATTTGTTCATTTTCTCTAAGCATTCTTTGAGTTGATCGCTCTTAAGCCTGCTTGACTATCGCATAAGATGGTTATTTATTGTTTCCATTAGTTTCTATCTAAAATAAGTTGTACGCATCTTCATCGCGTAGATTTCTGATTGAAGGATGCTGGAGTATTTACTTTCGGAGTATTTAGTTTTCGGCCCAAATACTCCTATCCCTGTGTTTCTTCTAGTGACAAAAAACTAGAATTCCTTTCGAGATATAAGGAAATATTTATGTTTATATGAATAAAAAGTATACTTCAACATCTCTCTCCATAAGTCCTCCAGTATTCCTTTCGTTTATTTTCTTTACATAAAACGCTTTGCTAGATAAAATATTCCTTCAAGATAAATAGAACATATCTTTTACGTAAGATACGTTTTCGTTCGCAATGTACTCACAATAGCTTTATAGCTGTCTGTTTACCTTTTTCTTATCTACTTAACGCTTCCAGGCACCCGCATATGCTATCGTTCCAGCTAACTGGATGAGTCCCGAGGGAACAGACCTGATTTTCTTATTTCTTGTTTGGGAAAGTGTGTATTTCTTTATTCCAGGAAATTTTCCATCTCTGATAGAAGGAAAATAGGGAAAAAACAACCTAGCGCGCTATTTGTACCTGGCTTAAGCTAGTAATTACTCTTCTTTAACTCATTTGTATTTCGGATTCTATGTATTCCATATACACTGATATTTTTCATAAATATTACTAAACTTCACAGAATTTTCTTCTCACCAACTACCTGCAACCATTTTAAAAATACCACTTAAATGCTAAAATGTATACCTTAGTCAACTTAGACATGAATCAACTCGTTTGATCAATTGACCTGACTCGTGTAAACGCACCTTTAATATTTTTATGCGATGGTATAAGCTATGCCAACTAACCTGCTTGTCTCGCTTCTTTACAAGCTTCGTACATGCCCTGTCGTATTTCCGAATAGTCGTCAGCGATGGTCTCACCAACAGTGACGAACCTTTCAATTGCCAAGTTGACAGCTTGGCCAACCCTGGCCACCGCTGATGATCTGAGAGAACCCGCGCTGCCATGTTCAACCAAGGAAGAAATCTGCAACAAAAAAACGAATAACCATTAAAAACAACTTTGTTTAAATTGGGCTTAGTAGCAAGAGTATATATGTTGCTAAGACGAACATCAGTGAACATCAGTCTTTCTTATTGAATAGAATGGTATAAGAATTTTTGTTTTATTATGTTAAAAATCGAAATTACATTTTAAAATTTAAAATTTTATCCTCTGTCATACTTTTTAATAAAGATTTCTATATATTTTTTTATTTTTTTACAGATAATACGAAGTGAAACTCCTTTACGCGCACTGGGATTAAAAATTCAAGGCCGTGACACACAAGCGCGAGACGAAAAGTGGTAAGAATAGCTTACGGCTTAGAAATACGTAGTGACGCGACGTGTATTTGTGAGCAGTCCACGTGTTTATTAAAAATATTGGATTTTTAATACAAATTTTGTGAAAGTGAAAGAAATTATTTATTATTATTTTCTTTTACGCCTATAAAACTATTTGTTAGACGTAAAAAACTATTTTTTACGGACAAAACTATTTGTTACACGTAAAAACTATTTTTAACGCGTAAAAAACTATTTTTTACGTGTAAAAAACTGTTTGCTACACGTAAAAACTATTTGTTACCCGTAAAAAAATCTATTATTAATTTATTACTTTTTCGACATTTCAAACTACACTTTTCCAAATATGTCCTCCAAATCTTTCAATTGAATAGCTGTTAGTAAGAAGTTTCACTTCAAATATGTGAAATATACAAATTGTGTGTACACTGTGTTGTGCATTTTTTTTCCCTTATTTTGATTTTAATGAGATTATTTTTAACATGTGTACTGCCATTTATACTGCAAATATTTTGAAAATGATTAGAAAAGAAAATAATATACAGCCTGATGAATTAACAAAAGAAAATTGACTTAACATACAGCAAAAAAAAATAGAAATAAAAAAAATCGACAATAACATTTTTTATTAAAATCAAAATCAAATATTACAGTTACAGTAAAACATTTTTATATAATATTGTAGTTTTATAAAGAAAATAACTAACTCACCCCTTTAGCCATGCTTTCTCTGGCCAAACACTTTCACAATGACCGACAATGGACAAAATCGAAACGGAAACAAGTCGGTATTTCTAAATATAAACCTTTGACGATAAATAAGTGAAGGCACACCTGTATGTTTTCTTTTTAAATTATTGGATTAGATTGCGCGGCTCTTTCTAGCCTGCTAAAGTTCTGCCATCCCCTCCACTACTGCAAACTTTCAACCTATAAATACTCCAATAAAAATACTTATGGTTTCTCTGGACTGGAGTTTTAGCGAAGTTCGCACTTTTAGGCTGACTCCATACATGGTTAACGATTCTTGGAATATTGTGCCAATATTTATTTTCAGAAAAAAATAGCCGTGGTTAAAAACTAGAACGTCCGCACACGGGTCATCTAAAACAGCGTCTACACTATGCGAGAAACAATTCGAAACATGTCAAGGTCCCATTTCGTCGCCCAACTTTGACGCATTTCGATTTTATTATATTATTTTTCGTCGATCTACTTTCGATTCTTAAAAGCGCCTGAAAACTACTCGTGAGGAGGGCATGGAGGATTTTTTTACGTTTTTTGTTGCCTCGTTCCATTTTATTTTGTTTTGAGCTATTTCCAAGACGAGTCGGTATCTGTATCCGAGGCAAAGGATTTTTTATTCATAAATCTCAGTGAAATAAGTAAACCGTTAGTAAAAAAAAATATAAGTAGTAAAAGTAGAATAAGTTAATAAATAGACATTTTAAAATAGCTGTTGTTACGATGATATTTCGTTAATTATATCTCGTTTTATGTTATATTGATATATATTGTCGAAATGTCGGTCACATTCTATTAATGAGTTTATCAATTCAAAAATATGTTTTCATATGATCATCTGAGTATGTTTTCTTTTAAAATGATTGGATTAGGTCGCGAGGCTCTTTCCAGCCTACTAAACATATATTTTACCCCTCTCCAGGTTATCCAGTAAAACTTTTATGGTTTCCCAAACGGAGAGTTTGGCCGAGGTTGGCGCTTTTAAAGTTCCGGAGGACTCCTTGTGCTCGGAGACATAAAAGGTGTAATAAATAAGTTTCGGAATTCAATTTCGTCGTATGAAAGGCGATATTTTTGGAACGAAGTTATCTGGGCTAACTTATCCTATTTAGGATAGACGGGTATCCTTTTCTATTAAGCTTCATTCAGAACCTCCAAATTAGTAGAATAAATTAGTGGTTTCAATTATACTTTTAACTTTTAATTATAATTTTAAAATTAATAGATATACTAGCAACAGCTTGCGGTAGTCATTACTAGCAACAGCTTGTGGTAGTTGTATCAAAAGAGAAAGCCTAATAATTAACTGAAAAACAATATTTTTTTTTAGTTCTAATTGTTCTACTAATTGAAAATTACTATCACTAATTTTGACTTTCTGAATGCTTACATTCAAATTAGAGGAACAAACCCACTAATTTCGACGTTCCAAATGAAGCTTTACCTTGTATCCTTAAGGTGTATTCATAATTTACTAAGATGTGATCAACGTTTTCTTGTAATTATATTTATTTTAATATTAATTACTAGTAACTTTGTACTATCTAACTGTGAAGTAAGGTAAGAGTGTTTTGGTTAATCTAGTGATACAGATAACTGATTGACCAAGTATTTTCCATATATTTCAATAACTTTCTAGATGTGAATATACTATTTTCTCAACATTTTCCGCTGAATTTCTATTCTATAATGTCTAGTATGTCACTAACTTTCAATAGACATCATTTTTTACCAGGCAAAGTTTTTTTTTGACATATCGTATTTTTTGGTGCCAATTGGCCTTCTAGCCTTGTTAGATTTCTCCATAACTTCTTTCGGAATCATATTTTCAGTACTTAGCGACTCCATTTTGTCAGTTTTTTTTAAATAAATAAATTCCTTCAATAGCACTGACTTTTAAATGACTAGACTTTGACGTAAATAAAATTAGAACAGTTGCTTTGATTGGATATCTCAAAGTATTTTGCACCAAATTCAAATTTTATGTCAGTATCTGACAATGTTTTTACCAGTAAATACGATGGTATCCAAAAAATAAATAAGCGGATTAAAAGATACTGAATTATTTAAAAACATAGATTTTATCCAAACAGTATGAATTTAAAACATTGTACGTCATTTTTCAGCAATTAACTTTTACATTATTCGTTTCAAAATTCATCTCACTCATACTACGATAAATGTGATTTACTAGACTTATAACGTCAATATATTAAATTACTCTAAATTTAATATTATCTACCATCTTCTGTGGAAGTTGCTCCCTCTTAAAGTTAAATTATTTAAAACTGTCGCAAACATAAAAGGTATAATAAATAACATTTTGAATTGAATTTCGTGCACCAAGAAAACCAGCATTTTCGAGATAATAAATTACCTGACTTATCTGCCCCAACTTGCCCTATTTATTTCGGAGTAATAGGAAAAAATTTTGCTTCATAGTTTAATGAAATTCTATTGGATTTTTTTCCTATTTTATTATTTATTGAATCGTCTAAACGGTAATGGAATATTCAGGACAGACGGACACGCGATACTTTCCGAACTATATGGTTGAAACGTATAATTAAAATAATAATAGGTCTTAACTTTGTAAGTTCCAAATTGTTCCAGTAAAAGAATCATTAGAAAAAACACTTTATAAAAATGTTTTTCTTTCTTTGTATATACAAAAAAACTACTGGAAAACGTCTTATTAAGGTCAATTTAGCCAATAAATAAAATATTTTGTGTTTATATTTTTCATGTTGCCTCGTGTTATACTTTATACCTAAATAAATAAAACTTGGGTTAGTTACACCATTTATAACTCAAGAACTTGTCTGATTGTAATGATCTCTGATTTGTTGGATTTTTATTCACCCCCAATAGCAGAATCAGCATGATTACAGTTGAGGGTTGGAAGCTTTGGTGTTACACAGCAAAATATAACACTAAATCACCACAATACACCAAAACACTTTTACTTTTACACTGGCCGCGCGTTTCGCTAACCATGTAAGCATCATCAGCAGATGATTATAAACTGAGTTTATAATCATCTGCTGATGATGCTAACATGGTTTGAAAAAAATATTGGTTTGTTTAAACTCAGACATTAGAATTCTATTCTTCTATTCTAAACTAAGACATGGTTTGTTTAAACTCAGTTTATAATCATCTGCTGATGATGCTAACATGGTTAGCGAAACGCGCGGCCAGTGTAAAAGTAAAAGTGTTTTGGTGTATTGTGGTGATTTAGTGGTTTATTTTGCAGAATCAGCATGAAAGAGCAAAATAAAATACTAAATCACCACCAAAACACTTTTGCACTGGACGCCCGTTTTGCTAACCATGTTACCATCATCAGCAGATGATTAAACTAAACTAATATCTACAAATAGGGCGCTTATATACTCTACTATTAGTAGGCTTGGCAAAAACTATACTAGTTTTTGCCACGCCTACTCAGAGCGAGTATATAAACGCTCAATTTGTAGAGGTTCCAACTGGTGATGGGAAAAACCGATATATTTAAATAATCGAGTACTCGAGTTCCAAGCCAGTTCAATAATCGAGCGATCACTCGAGTGAAATTTAGCTCGTATTTAAATATACGGTTTTTCGCCGTCGCCGTCGCTTGTACTTGTACTCGTAACGCCAAGCAGTAAGCTGCGTGCACAGAGCGCATATTCTTTCGAGACAAGTGGCAAGCGACAAGCGACGAGCCGGACGAGCGACGAGTAGTTTCGCTTGATCATGCATCGAAGCCTTGTCGATGTAGGTTGTAAAATTATGTCACACAGTTACGTAACAGATAACGTCGTATAGTCCTATAATTAACAATGCGGTCCCAATCAAAAGAACAATCTGTTGTTTGAAGATATTTTACCAAAAATACTGATAAAATATTGCTAATCTGCTCGATAGGATCGCTTGCGTTCGTCGCTCGTTCAT